GTGAGTATGAAACGCACAGGACTTTAAACGCCGCGCGGGAGTGTTGCCAATGGCATGATCATTTGCACATCTGTTATTCGAGTAAACCAAAGTGATGTTTTATTATATCTTCCGTGCTATGTGCGGTATAAACGAGCAAGTGAAGATTCGTGAATACCTTTATACTTTGTTAACGCCTATAAGAACGTCTATAACGACATCGTATCTTTCGTCGCTTGTCAGAAGGGCTGGGATTGTAGCGATCATTTGCTTAATGTCTGATTACATATTAGCACTGTAAGACGGAAGCGCACGTTGATTACAAAGTACTTTGTCTTGACGAAGATAAATCATTCATTAATTGCCGACAGTTGGATAATGGAACCATTGCGTTGTACCGGTATTTCATCTGATTAGTTTCACATGTTAATTTTTCTTGGACCAGGCCATGAAAAGGTTTTTGGGGCTGTGCCAGTCGCGGCTGGCATGGAGTTTCGTCTCTACATCACCTATATTACATCAGTGGTCGATAATCAATGAATAAAACATAAGCTGATGATGGCCCATAGAAATTACCAACTGCCGCGTTGGCAATTAGTGTATTTGCATTCGGCAATATAGCACGCCGCTGCCCTTTCACGAGCTTGAATTTCCACAAACGTTTCGGCGCGTATCAAACCATTTAATGCTTTCAGGATATTTGGATACCGCGCAACACCTTCGGGGACAGTGCGCCAGTAGGTAAAACAGGCGAAGGTTTGCATAAATTACTTGATAACTAATATTACTTAATTTGAAATTTCGTAAACTTACTCCAAAGGATATAATGCTTTCTTTCGGCCATCTCTTGAACAAAGCCATAGCCGTTATGCTGAATATTACAGCGATTAGCACAACCAACCTAAGTATACGCAAGCACGCAATCGCCCTTAGAGTAAGAAAAAAAAAACGACACCCTCTCTCCCTCTCTCTCTCAACAAACATACAAACCAAGACCTAATATATTTTTCTTCGTCGCTGATTGGATGAAGGATGACACGCAGGTCAATGTCATCGGGCAAGGATCCATCACGGTGGGTGTGGCTTGTTACGGCAGCCGACCAATCACGCGGCGCCACTTAGACCTTGGCGCCTTTGACGAATCCCTTCAGCAGCGGAAGGCCTCGTTCGCATGTCGTCTACGCTAAATGATCGTTATGAGTCCGGTCTTATTATGGGCTGTTTACGATAAGTGGGGCTGAGTGGGTGACGGTTCTGTATTTTCTTTATCTTTATTTTGCTCTATATGCTTATTTCTTAATCGTATGGGGGTATTCTTCTGTTTAATAAAAGGGGTTATCGGTGGCTGTTATTATGCTCTGTTCCTTGGCGAATAAATATACGATTCTGAACGATTTTAGCAAACATATACTCGTTTTTTTTAAATGAAATAGTATGTAGAAATATGATACTGATGTGCCATAGATAAGATAGGACACCCTTATTTAACTTTTCAAAACACGAGAGAAATACGTGACTACATGTAATATTAGAAGCACACAAACACTTTTCTTATTCGTGTTCCCACAGGGCTGGTGAAACACTATATTATAATGCGTAACACTGCGTGATCATTCAGCCTCCGTCAGTATTTTTTTCTTCTTCATTATAGGCTACATCTAGTTCCTGGAATAAATATTTCTAATATCAATATGCAATATTTATATTTCTAATTACAGTCCCTAACTCTCAGTATGACGTCACCGTTTTGCTGTGCGTCACGATGTCATTTTAAGTTGAAATTCACATGATACTGTAACCATGAATAATCACGTAATTAAATACAACAGAATTCACCTGAAATGATTAAAGTAATCCTCGCCAATTCGTCGTGAGAATCCTACCTCCGGCAGCGCCTACTTCGGGAGAGACAGAAGCGAGGTTGTGGTATCGGCGTGACAAAGTGAACGCGATGGAATTCAGTGACATGGATATCTTAGTGTCCATCGGGTTTTTCTCCTTATCATAAGCTCTCCATTCGTCCATTCGCTCTCTCTCTCTCTCTCTCTCTCTCTCTCTCTCTCTCTCTCTCTCTCTCTCTCTCTCTCTCTCTCTCTCTCTCTCTCTCTCTCTCTCCTCTCTCTCTCTCTCCCTTCCATTTGCACTCTCTTTCTCTCTCTTCTTCCATTCACTCTCTCTCTCTCTCTTCTTCTTCTTCTTCTTCTTCTTCTTTTTCTTCTTCTTCTTCTTCCCTTCGCACTCTCTCTCATTCCCTTCATTCGCACTCTCCTTTCCTTTCTTTCTCTTTTATTTCTTCCATTCGAATTCTGATTTATTCCATTTTCAATCATTTCCTTCATTCGCACTTTCATTTCCTTTTGCTGTCTCTCATTTCCTCCATTCCCGCTCTCATTTCCTTTTGCTGTCTCTTATTTACTCCATTCCTCGCTCTCTCTCATTTCCCTTTTCACAATCTCATTCCCTCCATTCGCACTCTCACTTCCTTCTTTCGCTTTCTCTCATTTCCTTTTCGCACTCTCATTCCCTCCATTCGCACTCTCTCATTTCTTTCTTCCGCTTTCTTTCATTTCCCTTTTCGCATTTTCATTCCCTTCATTCGCACTCTCTCATTTCCCTTTTTGTATTCTCATTTCTTCCATTCGTACTCTCTCATTTCCTTCTTTCGCATTCTCTCATTTCCCCTTTCGCACTTTCTTTCTTTCCCTCTCTCTCATTTCCCTTTTCGCATATATATATATATATATATATATATATATATATATATATATATATATATATATATATATATATATATATATATATATATATATATATATATATATATATATATATATATATATATATATATATATATATATATATATATATATATATATATATATATATATATATATATATATATATATATATATATATATATATATATATATATATATATATATATATATATATATATATATATATATATATATATATATATATATATATATATATATATATATATATATATATATATATATATATATATATATATATATATATATATATATATATATATATATATATATATATATATATATATATATATATATATATATATATATATATATATATATATATATATATATATATATATATATATATATATATATATATATATATATATATATATATATATATATATATATATATATATATATATATATATATATATATATATATATATATATATATATATATATATATATATATATATATATATATATATATATATATATATATATATATATATATATATATATATATATATATATATATATATATATATATATATATATATATATATATATATATATATATATATATATATATATATATATATATATATATATATATATATATATATATATATATATATATATATATATATATATATATATATATATATATATATATATATATATATATATATATATATATATATATATATATATATATATATATATATATATATATATATATATATATATATATATATATATATATATATATATATATATATATATATATATATATATATATATATATATATATATATATATATATATATATATATATATATATATATATATATATATATATATATATATATATATATATATATATATATATATATATATATATATATATATATATATATATATATATATATATATATATATATATATATATATATATATATATATATATATATATATATATATATATATATATATATATATATATATATATATATATATATATATATATATATATATATATATATATATATATATATATATATATATATATATATATATATATATATATATATATATATATATATATATATATATATATATATATATATATATATATATATATATATATATATATATATATATATATATATATATATATATATATATATATATATATATATATATATATATATATATATATATATATATATATATATATATATATATATATATATATATATATATATATATATATATATATATATATATATATATATATATATATATATATATATATATATATATATATATATATATATATATATATATATATATATATATATATATATATATATATATATATATATATATATATATATATATATATATATATATATATATATATATATATATATATATATATATATTTCTTCCATTCGTACTCTCTCATTCCCTTCTTTCGCATTCTCTCATTTCCTTTTCCGCACTCCCATTCCCTCCATTCGTACCATCTCTTAGTTCCTTTTGCTCTCTCTCAATTCCTCCATCCACACTTTCATTTCTTCCATTCGCACTTTCTCCCATTTCCTACATTCGTACTTTCTCCCATCTCCTTTATTCGCACTTTCTCCCATTTCCTACATTCGTACTTTCTCCCATCTCCTTTATTCGCACTCTCATTTCCTTCATTCGCACTCTCTCCTTTCCTCCATTTGTACTCTCTCTCCTTTCCTCCACTTTCTCGCTATCTCCCTTTTCTTTGTTTCTTCCTCTCTGCAAATCATTCATTTTCTCTTATTTCCTTTTCTTGGTTCGAAGTATTCTTCCCCTCCTTTTCTCTCTCTCCATAATTTCTGTTAATCCTCTATGTTCTTTATCATTCTCTCTATTTTCCCTATTTTCTTCTGACGTCCCCCTTTCACTTTATCCTTATTTATCTTTATTATTTTACATCTTTGTTATCCCTTTCTTTTCCCCCTCTTTCTTCCTTGCAGTTTTTTATGTTCATTTTTTTTTACCCTTTGTCTCCTATTACTCTGTCTCTCTTCCTCATTCATTGTACCTTGTCGACCCTCTCCTATTATTCCCAGTTCCTCTCTCTCCTCTCTTTGTAATTTTTCAGTATATTTCTCTCCTTAAAAAAAAAAAGTTGCATGAACACTTCGTCATGCAACGCACATCCCGCATTCTGACGTGACAAGTATTTCTCAATAGTTTTTT